CAGCCAAACCATCATCAATCTCTCTTGTTCTTAATATCTACTATCTCAATATCTTCCACCAAACTTCTACGGTGTATGCACTTGAACCAAATATCTGAAATTTGTCTTGTATTTTTTGTCGTTATATCTGCTTTTATTCCTTTTCTATAAGGCATTAAGCCTCAACCAGAGTGAGGAGGGGTTTAAGGCATTCCAAGTTCAACTGAAACACTAGAATAGGCTACCCAGAGAGGTGGTAGATGCTACATCCCCAGAAACATTTAAGGTCAGGTTGTATGGGACTCCTCTTCAGCTTCTGTCTGTCCTTCTCATTACTAATAGTCTGTTTATTCTGTCTCTCTTAAATTGTCTTTTGCGTTGTGTATGGGGTTTGTAAGTTTTTAGTGTCAGAAACATCATTTTCCCCTGTGTGATTGAAGTGTATTCATCATCATGCCACAACGTGCAATTCTCTTTTGGAGATGGGTGTGAATCAACCATGAGATTTTCCATTTCCTTCAGACGAGCTGCCCACTTACACTGACTGAATATCTTAAGTGTTCATCTTATTCAGTCAAATGTCCTACATAAAGAGGCATCTGTGATTAGTCAGCAGTGTCTAGCAGCGGAGGCAAATTCAGTTTGCAGGAACTACCAGTTTCTTATTCAGAAAGCTGAGTGACTTTGCAAAAGCTTATCATTAAGAACATTACTCATTCTTCTCAGTCTGAACATTAAATTATTGAGAATATTTTGGAGAAGGCAAAAGATGTAATGCCTTTAGTTTTTCAAAAGCACTTGAAACAGCCTTTTCTGTAGCTGAGATTGATGCAATAGAGTAGGTGAAATAAAATGAAAGAATGGTTTGGGTTGGAAGGGACCTTAAAGACTGTCTTGTTCCAAACCCCCTGCCATGTGTAGGGACACCTACCACTAGGCCGGGTTGCTCCAGGCTGGCCTTGAACTCTTCCAGGGATGGGACAACCACGGTTTCTCCAGGCAACCTGTGCCTCACAGTCAAGATTTTTCTCCTAATTTCTAATATAATCTATGGTCTGAAGGAAGTCACAACCATCAGTTATGATATAGTTCTTTAATCTATTAATTCTATACTGACTCACTCTTTCTAGGACCAGGAATTTCCAACTCTCTTGTTTACAGAGTGTATGAAGAGCATAAATATATAAAACTTTTCTCTGCTGAATTTCATAGATGTGAAATAGGCTGTATTTCTCTTCCATTGATTATACTTAAACTAGAAGGGTAAAATGATATGGGGCTTTTTTACACAACTAAAAGGCAATACAATATTATTATAAGACTTGTTTTACTTTACTCTCCTAAAATTTTTCTTTTACTGGAATTCTGCTCTAACTGCACCATGAAAATTAATGACTTTCCAGCTTGGTCATGGAGTTTTTGAAGCAGCTGTAGGTCTAAAAGGCACTGTGAAAAAATGATGCATGACAATGTGAGAATGGGAAAATCTCATTGTCACATTAATTATCTATTGACAGAAGATATACAGTAGGTGATGTAATGGCTTTGGATGTTCTTGTCTTTATTACCTCTTGGGGAAAGAGTTCAGATCATGAAATGAGTTTGGTGCTCCTGAGTGGACATTTGTCCTCATCACAAAACAACCCCATAATTCAGCGCAATGTAACAAAATTGGAGAGCTCGAATTGAGGAGGCTTAGAACCAAGAGCATCAGGGAGTGATAAATCAGGCTAGAGGTGCAGGGCAATGCCTCTTGGGGTGACTTTCACAGCATCTGTGAGACAGTGCCATCCCCATTACAAATCATTTTGCCAGGCAGACATCCGAAGGAGCTCCACATACTTGAAGGGACAGATCAAGCTGGGAAAGTGCTAAAGGGAGGCTGATCAGAATTGGTCTAAAACAATATTCTATTCAACTGCCATTCAGTGTTATGAGAACAGTGATTTTAACATTGTATTAAACTCACATTCTATAATTTTGTGATTCCTCTGCTGATGTTCAGGGATTTTTACAGTCATAAACAAAGAGCAGTGTGCATGATGCACATTGCATAAATAAGAGTCCCTGAGGGGGTATGTCTAAATATGTCTAACTACTTTAAGCACACTTAACTGAAGTATATTGGCATAATTTTCCTCATTAGACATCCACCTTTTGATGAATTCAGGCCAACATTAGTGCATATAACTTGCTATAGGAGTTAACTATAAACTTTTTGTGATTTTTATGAAATGCATTGAACATTTTCAGTCTAATTTTTAACAGCTGATGTAATTTTCTCAGTATCACCTTCTGAGGTTCTAGCTTCTTTTCATTCTTACATCTCAGTCCCAAAATATACTTCTTCTGTGTGTTTCAAGAAATTATTTTCAATCATTTGTAAAGACATCAGATAGTTAACGCAATACATGAAGTGCTAATCTGAGGCAACACAGAAGGATTCTGCACTCAACTCCCAAACTGTGTGCAAAACCCATGAAAAATGAAAACTTAAGTACTACAATATCCCTCCTTGACTTATGGCCTTCCCTAGATTAGTTCTCAACTAGACACAACATGTGATCTGCCACAGCTGCGAAGAAGGGTAATTAACTGCCATATATTATGTATTTGAGAGAGACACTGTGGATACGTTTGCAAACTGTTATTATTTTATTTTATTTATTAGCTGGCTTTAATTATATTCCTGGAAGAACCTGAGTTATGGTCCGACTGCAACAGAGTCTGACAGTGGAATAAGTTATAGAAGCCACCTTCGTGGGACTGTAGGCAACACAGCAAATAAAACAATCTGTTTCCTTCTTCAGATCTTCCAGACAGGATTAGATGAGAGACTAGTCAGACACAGAAGTCTTTGGACACAGAACTGCTGTTTTTTTTTTTCATTCTGTCAGCTATCTTTGACAGCTAAATACAATCTTCTCTGATGAAATCATAATTATTAATTAGGTAAAGGAGCTGCACCCAGGCTCTTGTGCAGTTATGACTTATGTTACCCTCAGTGACTATAACCTCCATCAGCTCTGCTCAATTAACTGAGGTTAAGCATTATAGATTATTGAGGAATTGGGTCATGGTAAATCAGAATGACTTTCCCAATTTAAAAATAAAGGATGGTCAGGTGTTTCAGAGGCAAGGCTCAGTGCCAGGCGTTTGCAGAACTGTTCTCTGCTGTAGATAGATACTGGATGGACAAATCTTTAAAGAGGAGATTTATTCTATCTGAATTTAGCCATCAAAATATTAGGTTAGTTTTTGTGAAGTGAGATATAGTCACTGGAGCAATTCAGCTAGTTCATGGGGGTGATTCACCGTACGCTCACCATCCAAGCCAGATGGTACAAATAGCCAACCAGAGGAATCTCTCCATGTTAACCAAAGAAGGGCTCTCAATGACTAGGTGTCATCCTCAAGTTTTAAATTACTGAAGTGGTTTGAGATAAATACATTCTTTTCTGCCCGAGACATACACACAAATGACTGAAATTGTTCATGGGAGATGCAGCAGAAGATTCTCAGAGGGTATGACATCTCACTCTTCTTGAAGAGACTGACTTAGTGCAAAATGCTTTCTGAAATGTGGCATGTTGTGGCGGGTTGTAAAGACATTAAGAACCTGGAGATTTCATGGGCTTGGTACACCTTAAAAAACGGCTACACAAGCTGTGTCTGTACTACTAATTTGAACATATCGCAGGAGACACCTGAGCACATCTTTACTCTCAAACTGTTGAAATGATGCCTGGCTTGGCTTTAGACCACAGAAGACCAGCACTTTTGTAACAGGTTGCTGAACACGGTGCAGAACCCCGCACAGTCCAGGGATCACTTCCAACAGCAGCTTGTGTGTGGTAACCCTGCTGTGAAGGCTAAGAGAGTTTAACAGTATGGAGAGATGCTGCTCCATGCCAGATGACCTTAATGTCAGTGAATGAGCATATTTAATTATGTTAATCCATTAAAAGCTTAATGTTAGACTCTACCTATGCCTTCTTCTGCAGTCTTTCTTTTATATTGCAAACTGTCTTGAGGCAAGGCCCCCCTAAATCTACAGGCTGTGCTGATATAGCATGCACCTCAGTAGGGTGGGTGAAATGACATAACCAACACTAAATGATTTTCAATTGACTCAAAGCTTAGGCATCTGCCTCAAAAAAACCCCCAAAGAGCATCCCTCAAGGTTTCTCAGAATGGTAATTTCTATGCTCTCTTACACAGGGAATGGCTGCTTCATTCCCCTCTATGCACTGTGCAGTATTGTAACAGTCACAGATGTTTCCCCTTGTTATTTATTGTCTCATAGCTGCCATCTGTTCAGTGCAGCCTCCTGTTGTCCCTCCACCAATACTGAGCTCATAAACTCTTTGGGCCAGTGCATCTTTTTGTCTCTAGGACTCTTGACCTGAAATCTCGGCGGCAATACAGATAAAATAATAATAGTAATTACAATAGTATAAATGCAGACTTCAGCTTTTGGAGGCAGGAAAGAGAAAATTCACTTTAAATGTGTGCATGTGTTTATATTCCTCTGAAACAATCTTTCTGAAGTGGAAATACAACTACATATTATCTAACTGCATACAGCAATGAAGAATTTTTGGCAGGTCAAAAAATATCACTGGATTCCCTTGAAAGGAAGGGAAGGTAAAGAGCAAAACATCAGAATTTAATAATCAGAAACTAACTGAAATTCTTCATGAAACCATAATTTTTTTTCAGTTTTAACAGAGGAAAACAAATCTACTGCCCCCTGAACCACACAAATTATAATTAGTTGAAACCCTACAAAATAGTCAGAGAAGCATGAAAAAATAAACATTTACTAACAAAAATATATATATACTTTGATTATATCCATCACTCTGAGACAGACACAAATGACACTGACTAGTAGTATGGTTTCATGGAAATTGCAATCTTTATTTTTGACAAAACTTATGCATGTCTTCTTTGTAATATTTGTATATAACAGCAGTAGTAGAAGAAGTCTGAAGGAACAAAAATCAAAACAAAACAAACAAACAAAAAAAGAGAGAGGTTTGTGAGAATATACTGCACTTTATGCCAGCTTTAAAAAGGCATGTTCGAAAGACCTGTCCAACTTATTGTTCAAGTGATTCAGCTACACTTTTAAGGACTGTGAACATTGGTGGGTGATCTGATGGAATTCTTTTAAGTTGAGGGCTGGACACTACACGGACAGATGCTGTTACAAGCTTGGACAGAGCTGCACCGCTCTAGGGAGGGTTCTGGGAAGCATCAGACAAACAGTGCATTTGTGTGCTCCTTGCTGGGACAGGGAAGTGTGGCTGGTGGTGGCACACTGGCATGGGTTACTCGGTGAGATGGTGAGTGCCCCATCCCTGGGAACATCCAAGGTCAGGTTGAAAAGGGCTCTGAGCAACCTGATCTAGTGGAAGATGCCCCTGCTCGTTGCAGGGGTTTGGAGTAGATGACCTTTAAAAGTTCCCTTCCAGCGCAGACTATTCTATGATTTCAATGCACTGCATGTCTGTAGGACATGGCTCCTCTGCTGCCAGGCCCTGGTGAGTGAAGATCACGGGAGACAGAGCAGTGTCCCCGAAGCCTCTGAACAGCTGGTGCACGACTTGTACTCTGCTTGCAAAACCTTTCCTGCTGACTGGAAAGGACACAATGAGGATAGGGGACCACAGGGTCAAAATTGTGAGTCCCAAGCATTCCCTTTGGGCCTTTTCACACACACGTTTTCACACAGGCATGTGTTTGCAGGCTGAGCACAGTCTAACCCTAAACCCACTTGGGAATGCAAAGCTGGAGGTGAAATCCAAAAGTCCTTAAACAGTCAAAATGCCCGCTGAAATCAATGCTATTTATTCCTGGAATGTTGAAATGATCCATGCATGCAGAGAGGAGGCAGTAAGTGCATCCATTGTCCTAGAGCTGGTAGAAGCTGGTTCTGCCTTGGATGCTGGTGTAACTCAAAGCATTTGAAGACCAGGGAACACACATTAAAAAACACAGTATTTTATCCATTTGGACTTGCAGGAAAGGGATGAGAGGGTATGCTAAATGACTTTATCTATAGTACAGAAGAGCCACAGGGCAACCATGAATTGGTCCTTCAAGGAGCTACTCCTGCATGAGGGCTGAAGGGAAGGAACTCCAGAACCTGCTCTGGAAGGTGCTGTCTCAATGCTGCCTTTTTGAGCAACTACAGGTTACTGTGGTCAGCTCCTGAGGGGTGGCTCCTGGAAAATTGCCATCAGGTTGTATTTTCCTTTTTTTTCTTCAGGGATCCTTTCAGTTTCTTCCACAGACTATCCTTCCTCTTCATCTTCTTCTCTACCATGGGCAATGAGGACTCTTTCCTTCGAATTTCCCTCACTAGTCCATGAAAGACATCATCAATGTAGAAGCGGAGTGCAGCTGAAGTCTCAAAAAAGGAGCAGGAGTATTCTCTGGCTAAACTCATTCCTTCTTCAGTTGAGACCTGCAAAGAAAAGAAAAGTCCATAAATACACCCTAATGCACAAAGCACTAGTTAGCATGAGAGCATTATAATATGTATAGTCTGAATTTTTTTACCCAGCAAATCACTGACCTTTAATTTTACAGGAAAATAATCTAACAGCACCCAACAGAGAAGATTAAAAAGTGAAAGGATCAGATCGAATTCATGAGATATTTGAACAGAGCAGTCTGGCAACATTCCTGTGCTCAGGTATATTATGTCCCTAATTCTGATGCATCATTTTTTTCCGTGCATTTCCTCTCTTTAGGGCAGTAATACTGTAGTTTGACAGTGCTGGTACCTTTGTACTATAGGATGGAATGAATGACTAGAAAGACTTACACAGAATTAAGGCTCTAGAAAATCCTTGTTCGGCATTAACCTAATCCTGGAGGCAACTTGACTCTTTAGGCACACCAGCCTTCATACCTTAAAATTTTTGAGTCACATTAATTTCTGAGCATGTCTTTGAGTGTTTTGGTCTTGGCAGGCCTGTAATCCTATCACTGAGCTCATACCTGAGCTGTATGAAGATCCAAAATCTATTTGCTTTTCAGCTCATGTTTCCTAAGTGGCTTCATTCTCAGAGAACATGTGGGAAATGTGTTTTTGTATTTTGAGGAATTGTAAGGGGAGGATTCACCATCAGGCTGAAGGGAAGGAAGATCTTTTAATTTGCCTGAATTTTGAAATAGGGATCTTGTTCCTAAAATTTTCATATTGATTGCCTCTTGGCATTTGCCCTGCCAGCCTGCTTAAATCAGCATTCTGATTAGGGTGTGGTTCAAATAGAGCTCAAATGCTTATCATAAGGACTACCAGTGCTTTCCACTTAAGGGACTTTTTACACTTTGGAAACTCATCCAATACCATGCAAGTCCACAGAAAAACACAGAGCAAAGTCTATGAGCTTCTTGAATGTGAAGCCAGTTTTCTCAGCCAACAGACCAGCCTTTCTTTTCAGTGTTTGAACATAAATCTGAATAAATGAATTGTATGAATGACATGTATGGTGTATATTTAGATTCTAGGTCAGAAATCCCAGCCTTTGTTTTTATTTGCATTTGAATATCATGATTTATTCAATAACTTTCCAAACATCCTGATAAAAAGTCAAAACAGTACTTTGAGACAGCTTTGTGAAAAACTACATAACAGGCCATTAAAAGTCTCAATTGCTACTGTCTTTCAAAAGGCTCATCTTGGTGCTTTTGTCTGTTTGTTTGTTTGTTTGTGTGTTTTTCCTTATTTCTATCTTCATGCACCTAAGATGTCATTTATATTTATTAGGGAAATAAATCCCTATGCCTCAAGATGCAAACACACTATTTCATACCTACCCGAAGGAAAATGACCTTTATTAATAAATAATGACCTCCCCTCCTTGCATGTATTCTGCCTATCTGTAAAGCTGGACATGGTCAGAAACAGGATTTGGGATGAAACAGAAAATCAGTTCATTCCAACCTGGAGGTAAATCTGCACCAAGCATGTACCTGCATAACACAGACCTCAGAATTCCTCACTGTCACCTTCACATCAAGTCACAAACTTTGTGACATTAGTAAGGACCCTTCCTCTGTGCTGCAGGTGTAATCTTAATTTAATTAAGAATACTGTGAGCGTAAGTAGGGAGGCTGTATGCCAACCTGAATAATACTTACTGACACAATGAAAAATGGTTACTGCTTTCCAACTGCTATAATTGCCAACCTTTAGCAAAAGGCGATGGGTAACAACATGGTCCTTGTTTTTCTCTGGGCAGCTGTGTAAGCAACATGCATGATTCAATATGTCTATTGGGCACCACTGAGGAATTGATTGTCTGGATAGAAGACCATTTTGGTTTATTTTTGACTTTTTAATGATTTTTTTTTCCTTGCCATGCCTTGTTTGAGCCAAAGGTGGAATTATTTTTTTATTTTATTTTGTTAAAGACGCTGCAGTTCTGAGCAAATGATTACACAGAGCTGCAGTTTCAGTGAAGATTTCATACACTGATTACCTAAAAGGAAGAAAAAATTCCACATAAACTGAAACACCCTATGTTAAAAAAATGGTAAGGTTGTAAATATAATTAGGGTACAAGCACAATAACACTCAATTATAAAAAATTACCCTCTTGCTCTGTGATTTTCCAGTCTTTACCCACCTAGCTACTCCTTTGTTCCATTCTCTTTTTACACCTTTTTTTTATTTTTCTTTTGGTAATTTCTAGGATCAAAACTATATTTTCTCCCCCCCTGCAAGGAAGAACAACTGCAGGGAAGACACGCTATGCTCTGTAATGAAACAAGACTGCTAAGGGCTGTGAGAACTGGGGAATACTCAGGAGAATTAAATCGTGTAGAAAAACTTCCTCTCAGTCTCTGTGTGGCTGGAGGTTTGCAGCTTGGGCAGATTTGGATGTCTTTCTATGAAAAGCAAAAAAAGTTTGGTTTGGGACTCCAGTTTCCTGCCAAATTACAGGGAGAACATTAAAATTATTAATGGCGATAGTTCATTTCAAAGCAAGGTATTTTTCTTAGATCTTGCCCTCAGGAACTGATTAACTGCTTCGGCAAAATTTTAGGAGCTAATTCAGCATGAGGAGGACACCTGGCACAAACAATTTCAGGACAATTAGCTGATGTTTTTCAGCTTCAAGGCTGAAAACACAATTTTTTGAAGTATAATGGTGTAATAATTACTACTACTGCTTCCAGCACCGATTAATGTAACTATAGTCACTTAATTAATGTGTTTGCTGAAGAATCTGTAAATATAAAGAGATATCTAGAGGAAAAGTACACATTTTTCTTTCAGTTCATAATTTAGTCAAGAGGCCAGACACCTATGGAATGAGAAAAAGGGGATAAAGCCCTTGATAAGGTGACTGACGCTCGCATAATTCTAGGGATTTACCTTGTCCCCATCTTATTGTGAGAAGAGAAACTATATCATAGAAATCCATCCCAGATCTGCACAGCCCAGGGACTTGTTGACAAATTGCAGTTCTGAGGGTCTGTATCAGTGGCAGATATGATCTGTCAGCGTGACACGGACAGACAGGTCAGGGACCGAGGTCATTCTATTGAATATATATCTGGGAAGCAGAGCTTTACATCTTGTCTTTAGAGTAACCCCCTGTGATTGAATCTGGCATTGTTTCCAAGAGTATAATTCTGGTTATATTGATTCCAATTTAGCTCGTTTCTGTGCTGGTAAACCTTAGGAAGGCAATGAAGGTGGAAGACAGGTGTAGTGAAGATAAATAAAAATGAAAATTTAAGAGCTGGCAGAGGATTCCAGATTTTGATACAAACTTTTAAAAAATGTTTTAGTCTGGGCAGGGTTTGGATCACGACTTACGGAAGAAGGTCATGAAGCTTGCAGGATAACCACAGAAAAAGATCCCTCGAGGATAAGTCAATAAAATGGGAATAAAGCCTTATGAACATGATGTTTCACCCTGGAAAAGAGTCTTCTCAGGACTGCCTTGCAAAGTGCGTGATTCTGAATGCCAATTTGCACACAGGTGAACTGGGAGGGGAGATACAGCTGTGACAACACATAACTCTGAATCGTGTCTGGTAAAGATATACCTGTTACAACAGCACATGGACTGTGAACAGCACATGGGGTTAGAGGCTGAATTTGGGAGTTCTCCCTGTCTGGATAGCTGAGAGCAGCTAGAACACAGCACAGACTCCTCCTCAAAGGAAGTATTTCATGGGCTACAAACTGCATTGTATGGCATTAAGATTTCGTTTGTGGCTTTTGCAAACCTTCCTTGGAAAATTACAAGTGAGATTAAATGCGATGCTGACAGCTTGTGAAAACCATGATGGATGAGCTGCCATCTCTGAGACAGCCAGTTCCCCACTAAGGTCAACTCCTCCACAAAACCACATGGGCTGGGTGGTGGGTGGGGAGGCACTGACAATCACTGGTCCCCATGAGGAGAGCATAAAAATACCTGAATACCTGTATCTGAGAAGGAAAGTGCAAAGAAACTAAACAGATCAATAGTCTGCTTCTGCCCTTGGACTGCCATTAGCTGGAAAATCTCCATCAGGATCACACTCCTTTTGTGCTCAGCAGAGAATTGCAAAGTAGATTTCATTGATGGAGGCTGTATTAGCAGAGTCAACAACAAATTCTTGGGTGAGTTACTGGTGGTCTTCAGGTAGGAAAGAAATGCATTTCCTCCTGTGCATCTCAACCCTGCAACAACACGTTCTTCTTGAGATGGCATTTGCAGTTTTCCTCTTGTGACTGGGACCTCCAGCTGACCATGAAGAGATCTGGAGGCTGCAGGTGGAGCGCTGTGGAGTCCTAAGGGTTGCAAGAATTCTCCTAATTTTTTGTTACAGACCCCTACCCTGACAGTCAACATTAGAATTATATAATTTTGGATAATTATATATCCAAAATTCTTGATCTATGATTTTTTTTTTCCCTGAAAGCCCGTGGTCTTTACCAGAGACAGAAGGGCATCCGTGTTGCTCAACAGAGTGCTCATCTAAAGTCCACTGAGGCTAAAAGGAGGAATTCCAGTTGGTTTTGATCATGCTTTGCATTTTGAAAGACAAAAATTTTTGAGAGTTGTACATAAAAGATAACTACCTAAGAGCATAGAGAGGGAAGTAGCATATTGAGCAACCTTGTTTCATACAGTAACTAATAAAAGGAGAAGGATAAGCCATGAGTACTCTGAATAATGTCCTGGAAAGATCCATGCCCTTTCCTTTAATCTCTGGTGGATTTTTTCTGTTTCTCAGCAAGTCCCATTCCAGAGAACAAGAATCAGATGCCAGATTGTGTATTAACACAGTTTGTGCTTAAGATGCCCCTGCAGAACAACTGTGAGTTTTCTCATTAATCATAGAATCACAAAATCATTTAGGTTGGAAGAGGCCTCCGCAATCATCAAGTCCATCCATTAACTCAGCACTGCCAAAACCACCACTAAACCATGTCCCCAAGTGCCACACCCA